CTTCGATCTCACTCCATCTATGTTGGTGTATGCAATCTTCAGGAACTTGTTCCCCCTCTCCTTATTCTTCACTCCCCCTCTCTCTATTGATTTTGTTGGTTTGCCTTTATGTACCACTTTACTGGTTTGCCTACCCCTATCACTTTGTAGAAAAAGAATTTATTTCTTCTTCATTCCTGCTCTCATTTAAATGTTTTGCCTCGGCGAGGTTCAGTTTCAGCTTCTCTCTATCTTCTTTTGAAAGATCTCGTCTTAACGACCACCCTTTCCCATCCTCATCCCTTTGCAATTTTCTAGCATTCCTTAGTACCTCTTCCATCTGTTTGGCACCGTTTAGGGTGATCCTCAAAGGTCGATCTTTCCCTTTTACGTACCTGCCTATTCTCCTGTAGTCGCACACATTCTCTCTGTTTGTAAGACCTTCCACGAGGCCAACAATTTTATCTACTACTTTAGCTTCTTCTACAGCTCTTTCTGACCTAGATGTTATCGCCTTTTCTTTGCAGCCAAAAATGATCAGGGACTTACTCCGATCAACTGTGTTTTGCACCAACTTCGGGTTAGATGCCAATTCTTTCCTCACTTCTAGCCTAATGTTTGTTTTATCTTGGTTGCTGCAGTGTTTGACTTCCTTTACTGCTTCTTCTATTTTTTCCTTCTCCTTGGCCACTTGTGCATAAGTGAGTTGCATATCTTTCTTGCACTGTTCTATTCCCTGTGTAACTTCCTCCATCTGTGCTGACAAAAGCTGTTTCTCCTGTTGAATTTCCTTGCCTAACCTATTGTAGTCATTTATGTTTAAATTTACTTTAACTTCTTCCAAAGCTATTTTTAAGAGTTTATTTTCTTCTTCCATGGCTTTGCAATTTGTTTCCAATTGATTCTTATCCTTGCGCAAGTCTTTCACTAAACCCTCAAGACATAAAACTTTGCTATTCAAATGGTCATTACTTTCTTTCAATTTACTAATTATTTCTACATGAGAGTTCACTATAGTATCTAAATTTACCAACTTGTTATGTAGACTACTAATATCAATGCTTTCTTCATTGAATCCCTCAAAATCAAGCTCTGTTTTGTTTTTCCCCTTGCCAGTGGCCATCTTGAATGTTCTTCTCTGCACTGTAAACACTAGGGCAACTTTTTCTCATCCGATTTTTATTACATCCGATTGGTTATGGACTATTCATGCCCATGCCACCTCTTGGGTGGCTTAATCTTCAATCAATTATTCTTCACAAGTGTGGGTTTTTATCCTAAATCCTGAACTTTATATTATAGTACGCAGATGTTGGGAGCACAAGAGAATAAAGGACAGTCTTATCTGTGAAAGGTCACTTCACGATAGTGTGGACACTAGGAAGCCTTCACATCACCAAGATGTTGGGCGCACGAAAGAACAAGGGATAATGCCATTGCATACATAGTTCCCAAGAATATTGTACTCATGGCAACTTCAGTTGAGTAGGAAGCTCAGATGAAATTACTGGTACTTACAAAACGATAAGAAGCGATGAGTTGTTGCCTTTTAAATTAAGAATTAGGAAAGACCCTAGTCCAAAGACCAGAGCTACAAGACGGTATGAATGCAAATGACGCAGGACGTGAAATAAAATATATGTAGTGTGTTTTAGGCCTAGGAAGGGAAGGCAAGTTTAGGTTAGTTTAGTTTGTCTTTGCAACATAAGCAGATCATTTTCCGGTTTGTCCAAATTCAATAGTACCGATTTTTACTTTCTAAGTGTGTTGTACGTCGGTATATGTACTATAGCCCTCATCCTTCGTATAAGTATGTACTACCAAAACAGAAGGATAGCTGGATATTTGTACAAAGTTCCATGAAGATACAGCAAAATCTGAAATAGGTACGTCTTAATGGGTTCTATGGCACAGTGATATACCTTCAGTTCACACCTAGGGACCCGGGTTCAATCCCCAGGCAGGACAGAACCAGATGGGTACGTTTTCTTTCACCTGATGCTCTTGTTCACCTAGCAGTAAATAGGTACATGGGAGTTAAGCAACTGTTATGGGTTGCATCCTGGGGAAGATCAGTCGCTGGCCAAAGGGGGCTGCAAAAACATAAGGCTTGGTGTTCCACAACAATGGGGGATCCAAATCCCTATCTTACACCACAGCTCCGAGACACAGCAGCCTCCAAGTAACACATGTTAACAACAAATACTCGCCCACAAGAGGGCATTGAGGGCCATTATACAAAAAGAATCCAACCCTTGCAGAGGAGTTATGTGACATAGCAGTGTAATAGGAAAATTTAGTCCCCAAGGGAAGTGAATGCACTAGGGGCTAATTAGAAGCTAGAAAGACATGTTTAGTGTAGGCAGAGTGTGGCAGCCCCATCTTGTACCAGAGTATATTTATGACAAAGCTATGGGTTGCCATACAGTATTATCCTCATTCTACCATGCTAAAATCATATTATTTATTGCATTAACATGAAAAATTATCCAGCAACTTAGTGCTTTATAAATGAGAGAGAAAAGGTACAATGAATGGTAGTGAGAGAGGAAAAAAGAGAGAAAAGAGATGTAGAGGGGAAAAAAAAAAAAGTGATGGAAAGAGAGAGAGGGGGTAGCATAACAGCTATTAGTTTATTGAATTTCAATAGGAATGTTAATCCTGAAGACAACAGAAATAAAGCGAAAGAAAACAAAGACCCTTTTTCTCTCGGTTAACAAAAAAACACTCAAGTCGGTTTCTATTTAAATAAAAATAAGAAAAAGAAAAGTTAACTTTTAATTATTTACGAGTATATTTATTGTTTAGTAAATAAATCAATACAAATTAAGAAGAGACATGAATATTTAAAGCTCCCAAATATTCAGTACAAAACTGACCAGTTAGTCTCACCTGACCCAAGTTACAAATAAGAAATTGGTGGTGTTTACTGCTGTTCGATGTTTCATAATTTTTTTTTAATTATTTTTTACGTGAGAAATCCTAAAATATTCCTAATAACTCAGGGTTTGATTTAAGAAGATACTGAATTTTTTGTAATTAAAAGTAGCATAGAATCTGGCTGGTTCCTGTATGTTGTACTGTACAGTTGTTGTGAAAGTTCCTTATAGTTACCCATTAATATAGTGCATGTTAGTATTCATGTTCTGTTTTATTTGGGTCATTGATGGTGCTGAATGAGGCGTTAACGTGTCAATAGTTGCTGGACGTGCAGTGGCGTGTAATAGGGATTAACTGATGGTGCTTGCATTACTTGTAAGTGTATTTGAGTTGAGGAGCCATGAAATATGCTATGAATATGGTTATGAGGTAATAATGAATAACTATGCACTGACATCACAGAGGATTGGATGGTTACCCGCAGTTGGGCTATGGTTTAATACACAGGTAACCAGGGGGTATCGTAGGCGGGGTAACCAGGGGGTATCGTAGGTGGGGGTAACCAAGGGGTATAGTAGGTGGGGGTAACCAAGGGGTATCGTAGGCGGGGTAACCAAGGGGGTATCGTAGGCGGGGTAACCAAGGGGGTATCGTAGGCGGGGTAACCAGGGGGTATCGTAGGTGGGGGTAACCAAGGGGTATCTTAGGTGGGGGTAACCAAGGGGTATCTTAGGTGGGGGTAACCAAGGGGTATCGTAGGCGGGGGTAACCAAGGGGTATTGTAGGCGGGGTAACCAAGGGGGTATCGTAGGCGGGGTAACCAAGGGGTACTGTAGGCGGGGTAACCAAGGGGTACTGTAGGCAGGGTAACCAAGGGGTACTGTAGGCAGGGTAACCAAGGGGTACTGTAGGCAGGGTAACCAAGGGGTACTGTAGGCGGGGTAACCAAGGGGTACTGTAGGCGGGGTAACCAAGGGATATCGTAGGCGGGGTAACCAAGGGGTATCGTAGGCGGGGTAACCAAGGGGTATCGTACACGGGTAACAGGGGGGTATCGTACACGGGTAACCGGGGGGTATCGTACACGGGTAACCAGGGGGTATCGTACACGGGTAACCAGGGGGTATCGTTCACGGGTAACCAGGGGGTATCGTACACGGGTAACCAGGGGGTATCGTACACAGGGAACCAGGGGGTATCGTACACAGGGAACCAGGGGGTATCGGACACAGGTAACCAGGGGGTATCGTACACAGGTAACCAGGGGGTATCGTACACAGGTAACCAGGGGGTATCGGACACAGGTAACCAGGGGGTATCGGACACAGGTAACCAGGGGGTATCATACATGGGGTAACCCAGGAGTATCATACACGGGTGGCCAAGGATTTAGCATCACGTTGAATGCTGATCGATTAACTAGCATTTGGCCATTGTTTACGAGGACAAGCTGGTGTTTAACCAAAATTTACCTTATTGCAAGATATTTCAAAAGGGAAAACTAAATAAGTGCCAATTATTCAAGGACAGTTCATCTCTATCACATTGCAACTCACACTTAGGAAAGAACATGGGGTGTACGGGGGGGATGGTGATGGAAAAAATGATGGATGGGATGATGATAGGAAGATAGGATGGGGAAGGTACGTAAGAGATGACTGTGGAGTGAAAGTAATGCCCATCCACAGTAATGCAATGGTGGACACTGCAGGTGGTATTCCACTACCTGGCAGTGTTAGTGCTTGCTGTGGGTTTCCCTGTACATTTGGTGCCCATGTACAAGGGGGCATCCATACATTGGGGTGCATGTGTATATGGGGGATGTCTGTGTACATGAAGATGCATGTGGGAGTGTTCGTGTCTTAAGAGTGCACGTATACATATTATGCCAGGTATACCATGTCTGCAGAGAGCTGATATGAGGCGCATATATGTATGTGTGTGTGTGTGTGTGTGTGAATGTGTGTGAGAATGTGTGTGAGAATGTGTGTGTGCACGCGAGCACACGTTTGTGCACAACATGAGGCTGTGTAATATGTGCAGATGTGAGTGCCTATCCGCAGCGGTCTAGTGGTGGACGTGAGGGCGTACACACGTGCTGTGGGGGTTGTGGGCGTGCACGAGTGTGGGGTTTACCGTACTTGGGTCTGGCGTCGCTCGCTGGTCTGGGCCACCATCACACGTACCTCCGCCTGGCAGAGGCGAGCGCGGTCCACCTTGCCGCCGTCCGCACACACGCTCAGACGAGGCACCGCCAGGGCATTCTTGTCCCCCTGCCGCTCCTTGCCCTCCTTCCCTGCTAGGAGAACCACCCAACACATGCTTACTCCCATTCCTATTTCTCTCGTTTTCAATCTGTGTGTGCTTTCCTCGTGTTGGTCTGTCCACCTGTCTATGTTAACCCATCTACGTATATGTCTGTCTCTCTTACTCTCAATTTGCTTCACATCTCCAGTGCAACACAGTGGATATACTGCACAAGGGTACGATACAACCAAGTTTAACGTCTGCTGTTAAATTGTTAACTTTGTCAATACATTCTAACTGATTTTCATGGCAGCCAAAGGGTCATCACACATACTACATGCACATAGCTGTGGCAACTGTGCACAGAATTTTATATTATCTGCACACACACACACACACGCACACACACACACGCACACACACACACACCTAACACACACACACACACCTAGCACACACACACACCTAGGGGTGCCACCTAGGGGTGGCACCCCTAGGGTCAACACTTGCAGCAGAGGAGCTCCAGCATATTTCAACAATCCTAAGTATTGTAGTACAGGTTGATGGTAGTGAGTGGTGTCCCACAGAACATAAAGGTATAGTGCTCTTGAAAAATAGGTGAGATAACAGGAAAGTGCTAAGGGAAGTGAAGAATCGGATGAGAAAAAGTTGCCCTAGTGTTTACAGTGCAGAGAAGAACATTCAAGATGGCCACTGGCAAGGGGAAAAACAAAACAGAGCTTGATTTTGAGGGATTCAATGAAGAAAGCATTGATATTAGTAGTCTACATAACAAGTTGGTAAATTTAGATACTATAGTGAACTCTCATGTAGAAATAATTAGTAAATTGAAAGAAAGTAATGACCATTTGAATAGCAAAGTTTTATGTCTTGAGGGTTTAGTGAAAGACTTGCGCAAGGATAAGAATCAATTGGAAACAAATTGCAAAGCCATGGAAGAAGAAAATAAACTCTTAAAAATAGCTTTGGAAGAAGTTAAAGTAAATTTAAACATAAATGACTACAATAGGTTAGGCAAGGAAATTCAACAGGAGAAACAGCTTTTGTCAGCACAGATGGAGGAAGTTACACAGGGAATAGAACAGTGCAAGAAAGATATGCAACTCACTTATGCACAAGTGGCCAAGGAGAAGGAAAAAATAGAAGAAGCAGTAAAGGAAGTCAAACACTGCAGCAACCAAGATAAAACAAACATTAGGCTAGAAGTGAGGAAAGAATTGGCATCTAACCCGAAGTTGGTGCAAAACACAGTTGATCGGAGTAAGTCCCTGATCATTTTTGGCTGCAAAGAAAAGGCGATAACATCTAGGTCAGAAAGAGCTGTAGAAGAAGCTAAAGTAGTAGATAAAATTGTTGGCCTCGTGGAAGGTCTTACAAACAGAGAGAATGTGTGCGACTACAGGAGAATAGGCAGGTACGTAAAAGGGAAAGATCGACCTTTGAGGATCACCCTAAACGGTGCCAAACAGATGGAAGAAGTACTAAGGAATGCTAGAAAATTGCAAAGGGATGAGGATGGGAAAGGGTGGTCGTTAAGACGAGATCTTTCAAAAGAAGATAGAGAGAAGCTGAAACTGAACCTCGCCGAGGCAAAACATTTAAATGAGAGCAGGAATGAAGAAGAAATAAATTCTTTTTTCTACAAAGTGATAGGGGTAGGCAAACCAGTAAAGTGGTACATAAAGGCAAACCAACAAAATCAATAGAGAGAGGGGGAGTGAAGAATAAGGAGAGGGGGAACAAGTTCCTGAAGATTGCATACACCAACATAGATGGAGTGAGATCGAAGATACTGGAGTTAAGTGATGTAATACAGCTGCAGACACCAGACATTGTTGCACTCACGGAGACAAAACTTGAAGATGTAATTTTAAATGAGGTCATATTCCCAAGGGGCTACTCAATTTGGAGACGGGACAGAAAAATTAGGAAAGGCGGTGGCGTTGCTGTGCTGGTAAAAGAACACCTAAAGGTGAAGGAAATAATGACTGCCAATCCACAAGAAGTTGACATAATAGCACTAGAGATCTGCTATGAGGATGATAAACTAATGATGATAAATGCATATAGTCCACCGCCAAGCAGCACATGGTCAAAGGAGGAGCTAGATAGTAAACGTGAAGGTCTTATAACAATAATGAGAGAGATTATAGCGAGAGCGGATAACGATAGATCACGACTGTTGATAGTCGGTGACTTCAACTTGAAATCCATAGACTGGGAAGCATATGAAGCTAAAACAGAAGATTTTTGGACCTGTAAATTTGTAGACCTCATCCTGGAAACATTCTTGTATCAACATGTTAAACAAGCTACGAGGATGAGGGAAGGGGACGTTCCCTCCATGCTAGATTTGATATTTACCAGGAAGGAGGAAGAGATATTTGACATTCAGTACCTTCCTCCCTTGGGTAAAAGTGACCATGTCTTTTTGGGAATAAAGTATGCAATGCGTTATAAGCTGGAAGAAAATAAGGAGGTTGAAGCAGTTGAAAAACCAGACTTCAGGAGAGGACATTATGGTGACCTTAGAAATTTTTTTAGTGAGTATAATTGGACAGACTTGATGCTAGGCAAGGAAGTGAATGAGATGTATGGCAAGTTTTGTGAAATATATGATAAAGGCACAAAAAAATTTATACCAAAACAGAGATGCAGGACCAGAAAACAGGATTGGTTCGACAGAAATTGTGAGAGGGCAAGAGACCAAAAGACACAAAAATGGAATCAGTATAGGAAGAGGCCAAACCCCCAAACATACCAGCGATACAAAGATGCGAGAAACAATTATACAGCAGTAAGGAGAGAGGCAGAAAGAAATTTTGAAAAAGGGATAGCAGATAAATGTAAAACAGAACCGGGCCTATTCTACAAATTCATAAACAACAAATTGCAGGTAAAGGATAATATCCAGAGGTTGGAAATGGGAAACAGATTCACGGAAAATGAAAAGGAAATGTGTGAAACATTAAATGAAAAGTTCCAAAGTGTGTTTGTACAAAATGAAATCTTCAGAGAACCAGACACAATAAGAATTCCAGAGAACAACATAGAGCGGATAGAGGTGTCTAGAGATGAAGTGGAAAATATGCTAAAGGAGCTCGGGAGGAACAAAGCAGCTGGCCCAGATGGCGTTTCACCATGGGTTCTGAGAGAATGTGCATCTGAGCTCAGCATTCCACTTCACCTGATCTTTCAGGCATCCCTGTGTACAGGAATCGTAGCAGACGTGTGGAAACAGGCTAACATAGTTCCAATCTACAAAAGTGGCAGCAGGGAAGACCCCCTCAATTATAGACCTGTATCATTGACAAGTGTAATAGTGAAAGTATTGGAAAAGCTAATCAAAACTAAATGGGTAGAACACCTGGAGAGAAATGATATAATATCAGACAGACAGTATGGTTTTCGATCAGGAAGATCCTGTGTATCGAATTTACTCAGTTTCTATGATCGGGCCACAGAGATATTACAGGAAAGAGATGGCTGGGTTGACTGCATCTATCTGGACCTAAAAAAGGCTTTCGACAGAGTTCCACATAAGAGGTTGTTCTGGAAACTGGAAAATATTGGAGGGGTGACAGGTAAGCTTCTATCATGGATGAAAAATTTTCTGACTGATAGAAAAATGAGGGCAGTAATCAGAGGCAATGTATCGGAATGGAGAAATGTCACAAGTGGAGTACCACAGGGTTCAGTTCTTGCACCAGTGATGTTTATTGTGTACATAAATGATCTACCAGTTGGTATACAGAATTATATGAACATGTTTGCTGATGATGCTAAGATAATAGGAAGGATAAGAAATTTAGATGATTGTCATGCCCTTCAAGAAGACCTGGACAAAATAAGTATATGGAGCACCACTTGGCAAATGGAATTTAATGTTAATAAATGTCATGTTATGGAATGTGGAATAGGAGAACATAGACCCCACACAACCTATATATTATGTGAGAAATCTTTAAAGAATTCTGATAAAGAAAGAGATCTAGGAGTGGTTCTAGATAGAAAACTATCACCTGAGGACCACATTAAGAATATTGTGCAAGGAGCCTATGCAATGCTTTCTAACTTCAGAATTGCATTTAAATACATGGATGGCGATATACTAAAGAAGTTGTTCATGACTTTTGTTAGGCCAAAGCTAGAATATGCAGCTGTTGTGTGGTGCCCATATCTTAAGAAGCACATCAACAAACTGGAAAAGGTGCAAAGACATGCTACTAAGTGGCTCCCAGAACTGAAGGGCAAGAGCTACGAGGAGAGGTTAGAAGCATTAAATATGCCAAAACTAGAAGACAGAAGAAAAAGAGGTGATATGATCACTACGTACAAAATAGTAACAGGAATTGATAAAATCGACAGGGAAGACTTCCTGAGACCTGGAACTTCAAGAACAAGAGGCCATAGATTTAAACTAGCTAAACACAGATGCCGAAGAAATATAAGAAAATTCACCTTCGCAAATAGAGTGGTAGACGGTTGGAATAAGTTAAGTGAGAAGGTGGTGGAGGCCAAGACCGTCAGTAGTTTCAAAGCGTTATATGACAAAGAGTGCTGGGAAGACGGGACACCACGAGCGTAGCTCTCATCCTGTAACTACACTTAGGTAATTACACTTAGGTAATTACACACACACACACACACACACACACACACACACACTTACAATCCCTGAATACACATTTATGGCCCTGCATATACACTTATTGTCACCTGTGAATTTATTAGATGGCTAAGTTCCCTTCACTGATAGGCCTCTGCACTTTTGACATCACAGGCCTAAGTAGTGGTTGGGTGTAAAGCCAGGTTGCCATGGTAGTCGACAGTAGTCAACACTAGGGAGCAGACTTTGCATGTGTATTCTGGAATAATAAACAACATAACTATTCTCCTCATTTATCTACAGCTCTACTGATATGTCCTACAAGAAAGACGATAACAAGATGGGCAATACTGGTGGCAGCGGTGGGTTAGTATCCCATCTCTGCCACCAGTATTACTTATTCGTTATGCAATTTTCTTGCAGGATGTACTAATAGGGCTAGAGATAAATGACGAGAGAAGTTCTGCTGTTTATTAGTCTAAAACATGCACACGAGGTTCACGCCAACGTTTTAGTCTTGGCTATCAGGGCACCATGCCCTTGGGAACAGGCTGGTACCTGGGCCTGTGATGTCAGAAGTACAGAGGGTTACAGGCCAGAAGTACAGAGGGTTATCAATATTGGCAACCTAACCATCCACCAAGTGACGTGGCTGACACCAACAGTAATGTGACAACTTGCCTAGCTGTTGACATGTTACAGTCGTGTTACGTGTCATGTGAATATTATCATCAAGCTGTTGATCAAAAATATTAATGTCTCAGGAGATGTATTGCAAGGATTACGGACCACTAATGATCATAATATTGCTCTTTTACACATTGTTGGAAAATTACCTATCAACAACAACCAGTAGACAAACTCATAACATTATGGCAGATGTATATACTTATGGTACCTGCATACACAATTATGGCACTTGTACAGACACACTTTTAGCACCTGTGTATACACTTGTGACACTTGCATAGACACTTGAGACCTGTATACCATTCATGGCACTTGTGTGCACACACACACTGCACTTGTGTACACAGCTATGGACCTTGTGTATACACATAACATTCATACACACTTATAGTATATGCACTTATGGCACATGTGTACAGACACACTGATGGTATCTAAGCACAAACCATTATGACACCTGAAACACTGGACTCCTGGCAACAAACACTGGACTCCTGGCAACAAACACTGGACTCCTGGCAACAAACACTGGACTCCTGGCAACAAACACTGGACTCCTGGCAACAAACACTGGACTCCTGGCAACAAACACTGGACTCCTGGCAACAAACACTGGACTCCTGGCAACAAACACTGGACTCCTGGCAACAAACACTGGACTCCTGGCAACAAACACTGGACTCCTGGCAACAAACACTGGACTCCTGGCAACAAACACTGGACTCCTGGCAACAAACACTGGACTCCTGGCAACAAACACTGGACTCCTGGCAACAAACACTGGACTCCTGGCAACAAACACTGGACTCCTGGCAACAAACACTGGACTCCTGGCAACAAACACTGGACTCCTGGCAACAAACACTGGACTCCTGGCAACAAACACTGGACTCCTGGCAACAAACACTGGACTCCTGGCAACAAACACTGGACTCCTGGCAACAAACACTGGACTCCTGGCAACAAACACACTAGGACTCCTGGCAACAAACACTCTAGGACTCCTGGCAACAAACACACTAGGACTCTGGAAACTCAAGTAGACCGCTGGGACCAGTCATGCATTACAGACATACATCTTCACCCATCATGACTACACTACAAATATCTCAATAGTTTATAATTTAGCAACTTGCTTTCAGACATTCTTAATCCATACAAATTAAGATACCCACGACTTCGCTCCGCCTCGTCCTACTGATCCATGATTAAACAGCCACTCTACTCTTGGTCATTAACAGTTCCGGGCTTGAACACTAACACCTTCAGTACCATGGACAAAATTACAATCAATTTTTTAAAGCAATCTAGTAAAGAACTACAATTGTCATCTGAATGATTTACTGAGTGGCATATGGTGGTATTAGGTGGTCTGCGAGATGATGTTTGCGATGATCTCGAAGATAACTAAGATAACTTCAAGGATGAAACTTTGTAAATCTCAATAACAGCCTTTAGAAAGTGTCCTGTTTGCAATTTATAACCAGATACTCGACTTTCTAAACCTTAGTGTCGTTTATTAGTTGTCTGTTAAGTCACGATTGGTCATTGTGTGGTCTAAAAATAGTCAGCTTGGGGTCTATGAATGGTTAGTATGAGTGGTTTATGATTTGTCTGTAAGGTCTCTATGTCCTTATGTCCTATAGGAAGTCCGCAACGTACACGAGTGGTCTATAACTGTGTAATGAGAGGTGAACGCTTAAACAAGCATCCATCAAGTGGATGTGTGACGGGTGGGCCCCGGTGGGCCCCGGTGAGCCAGCAGAGGAGTCGAGACTCACCAGAACAGTCCTGCGATGAAGCCCACTTCTTCTTGTCCTCGACAGAGAGGCGGTCGTGCTTCTTGGAGGATCTGCCCCAGCCGGAGGTGAGCGTCCCGAGCCGGGAGAAGGCACGCATGACGATGGGCGAGTTGGGTACGCTCTTGGGTCGTGGGGTCTCGATGTCTGGCACCTGTTGGGCACGAGAAAAGGTCACATTGGCTTACTGGATGGGAGGCTTGTGAGGTCATTACAGGCATTGGACTGTATAATAGTTGGTGCAATCTGATCACAACCGATTGACCCCTGGGTTTGATTCCCAGGCAGGGAAGATGTTTGAGCACATTTTATTGCACCTAATGCCTCCAATTACTTCAAAACCGTAGTTTAAAGTTAGTCTACTGTTGTGGGTTGCACCCTGAACAAGTTCTTAGCTATGGGGACAATATAATAAACCTAACAGGTTTCGTGTCCCCAGCAACGAGGAACCATAACTGATTCGGGCACATCCATGGTTAACTTTGGGGCATTAGACACTATATAAGGTCATTATGGATTTGGGAACAGATAGTTCACCTATGGAAATTGGGTGGCACTAGCTAGGCCATTTACGGTTTGGGCAGAGAAGGTAATCTTGGGGCATTAGGTAGATGTAGTACTTTCACCCCAGGATTGAAAGCATGGGTTGAACCCTGAACCATATAAACCCTAGCTCCATCCTCAGGTCATAGGATGGGGCTAGTTAGCTCGTTATACACTAGGGTACAAAGGATGGTTTGCTCTGGGCACTGGGCAAGATCATTTTCGGTTAGTTCACCCAAGAGTAGGGCTTTGAAGGTCACTATATGTTAGTGAGCAAGGCTGTCTAGTAGAGGGGTCCCAGCCAGCAAGAGTACAAAGTCAAGAGTACCTTGGGGTGATGAGACACGCTAAGAAGGTCAATGGAACAGGAATGTGTCACCTGCACATTCAATTGCTTGCAGATAAAATCTTGGTGAGAAAATATGCTAACATCTCCATGGGTTAAATGACAAAAAAAGCTTGTCATAATGGTGAGAGGGGGAGAGTAGAGCACTCGTATAGAGCTCCTAGGACACTCACCTGGAGGAAGTTTGAGCTCTTGGGCGTGTGCGAGGAAGAGTAGAGTGCTCATTTAGAGCCCCTAGGACACTCACCTGGAGGAAGTTTGAGCTCTTGGGCTTGTGCGAGGGAGAGTGGAGCGTCGGGACGGCCCGGGCCAGGATGTCGGCCACTGAGACCTGCGGTGACCCAAAGCCAGTGCTGAATCCGTAGAGCATCTCCTGGAACACCCTGCAGGGAAGCCCTGGTCAGGCAGTGGTCAGGGACAGACAGACAGAGACAGAGACAGACAGAGAGAGAATGCAAATTTAAGTTGTTAACAATAGCAAATTCTCTTTGTTCTGTGATAGCTAGGACTGATCTAGACTACCCCATATACTTCAGGAAGAGAAGCAGTCTCCTCAAGACTCCTCACCGACCACTTGTGTACTGGAAGTAACTAAAATAGTCAAGACCATGAAAGCATCTTTTATGAATAATTAAACCCTGGAAATATCTTGCCTGACAATTAAGCTGAGCTAGGATATTGTACGTCTTAGACAAAGCCTCTGGATAAATCTCAACTGCCCAATTAAACTCTGAACCACCTCAACTACCCAGATAAACCCGGAATCATACAAACTGCCTAGGTAAACCGTGAACCATCTCAACAAGCCAGGTAAACTGTTCATGGACCTCACCTGCTGCGGACGCCAAGAATGGCCCTAACGCCATAGAGTTTACACTTCTCCTTGCCGGCACCGACCAGGAAGGTGACGTCGTAGAGCATATTGTTGAACTGGTTTTCGCTGTTATGGAAGGCACGGGTGAAGTCTTTGGCCAGCTGGTCGTGGCCCTCGAACAGGTCGCGAACCGAGTCCAGCAGTGGCGACGAGGGACGCATGTGACCAATAGGTCGCCAGGAGCCGCGTCTGTCGACCATCAGGGAGACACATTAATGCCTGCAGGGGGAAGGGGCCATGGCTGGCCACCTCACTCATTCATGGACTCACACAATCAAAAAATAAAGACCATGACAGTACCAAGACATTCAGACGGACGCATGTTCGATCCAGTGGCACTCATAATTTTCTCTCAGATACGTCACATTGTGCAGGGTTTTATATTATACAGAAAGATGATAAAATCTACGTAATTGTATTCTAATATGACCTTAGGAGTTAAAACAGAAATAGAAAACGAATGAAATCAATAGAAAGCCAGGGAGTGGCAGACCAAACTTGGAATATTAGAAGTGAAAGTCAGTGTGGAAGGTGTTTGCGAGAGTGGCCTTCATGGCACAGTGTGGAGGCCAGGAGTGTGACTCCCCAGCACTCTTCCTCTCTCTCTCACGCTGCACACTGCCTCTCACCTCCCTCTGTGGTCCGTGGTCATGCATGCTTTACCACCACACACACACACTAGTGACACACCTGTAAGATCTACAACCACACACCTGTAAGGTCTGCAGCCACACGCAAGTGACACCTGTAAGGTCTGCAGCCACACTAGTGACACACCTGTAAGGTCATCAACCAGAGACCAGTGACACACCTGTAAGGCTTAGGAATCTGGCCGGTCTCGGCGTGGTTCTGGAGGTTGTTGACCAGGTCCTCCAGCATCTGGGAGCGGGTGCGGTCCTGCATGCGCGCGAACTTTGGGGCGGAGTAGGAGGCTCTTTCCCCGTTGACAATCTTGGTGAGGAGCCACTCTCGGAACATGGGGCCCTTCTCGAAGCAGCTCTGCTCCCACAGGTATGGCTTGTAGGCGCCCACCTCATCACGGGACACCACCGCCACCTGTGGACACCACCACGAGATACAGCACCTGCATGTACATGGGGAGGGGGGAAGGTTTAGTAATAATTCCAGTTTTCTGGGACAGAAAATCTATACTTGGGCTTATCGAGGTCGCTTTAGACCAAGTACTAACCTGTCACAGGATGCAACCCACAACAGTTACCTAACTCCTGGGCACCCATTTTACTGTTAGGCGAGCAGAGGATTCAAATGAACTGAAACATGTCCAGTCATTCTGTATTGGCCGGGCATTGAACCAGGTTCCCTCAGTTGTCAGCCGAAGATGTAGCCCATTGTGCTACAGTCAGGAGAGGTTGGTAATCTACCTTTGGTTCATGTGGAGCAGAGAGAAAGGCACTAACCTCATAACGTGTTGGCTTGAACTTGATCCTAGGGCTGGTGCGGACAACAATGAAAGTGTGGAGGAAGTGGGACTTGATGCAGGCAGGGGAGAACGGGGTGTTGTCTGCCTCCAGGAACACCACACACACGATGTCATTCCCAATATGCCGTTTCCGCTGAAGCTGTAGTAATCAGGGGTCGAGGAAGGGTGGAAGCGGTGTTAGTGATTTGTTTTGGGAGCAACGACGAGCCTAAAATTGCAGATTCCCCCATCCTTGCCTCGAGTAAACTGTACACAACTTGCATAACCTCTTTGCCAAGGCTGGCAGTTGAGGGGCTGATATAACCATGTTTCTCAGTATAAATATATACATAAATTTTTGTACCTCAGAAATCCTCTATTTTCGACCTGAAATGCACCTTACCTTTTGGGGATCGTGTTTCTCGTAGGGCAGGAGAGTGGACACGTGGAACATGATCTCTATGTTCCTCCAGTGGGCGTAGACGCTGTAGAGTCCCGTCAGGTCGTGCACGGTGTCCAGGCCGCCCTTGTACTTGTCGAACCCTGTCCAGAGGCCAGGATGGGTGGGGGTCACTAGGTACAGTTACACACACACACACACACACACACACACGAAATGAAGTACTTAATGAAACAGACAGAGAGAAAGATCTAGGAGTTGATATCACACCAAACCTGTCTCCTGAAGCCCACATAAAAAGAATAACGTCAGCGGCATATGCGAGGCTGGCTAACATCAGAACGGCATTCAGGAACCTGTGTAAGGAATCATTCAGAATCTTGTACACCACACATGCAAGACCAATCCTGGAGTATGCGGCCCCAGCATGGAGCCCTTATCTTGTCAAGCACAAGACAAAGCTGGAAAAAGTCCAAAGGTATGCTACTAGACTAGTCCCAGAACTAAGAGGCATGAGTTATGAGGAAAGGCTGAGGAAAATGCACCTTACGACACTGGAAGACAGAAGAGTAAGGGGGACATGATCACAACCTACAAAATCCTCAGGGGAATCGACCGGGTAAACAAGGATGAACTATTCAACACTGGAGGGACGCGAACAAGGGGACACAGGTGGAAGCTGAGCACCCAAATGAGCCACAGAGACATTAGAAAGAACTTTTTCAGTGTCAGAGTAGTTAGTAAAAGGAATGCACTAGGAAGTGAGGTGGTGGAGGCTGGCTCCATACACAGTTTCAAATGTAGATATGACAGAGCCCAGTAGGCTCAGGAATCTGTACACCAGTTGATTGATGGTTGAGAGGCGGGACCAAAGAGCCAGAGCTCAACCCCCGCAAACACAACTAGGTGACAACTAGGTGAGTACCCACACACACACACAGTACACACACACAGTACACACACACACAGTACCCCCACACACACACACACACACACACACACACACACACACACAGTACACACACACACAGTACACACACACACACAGTACACACACACACACAGTACACACACACACACAGTACACACACACACACAGTACACACACACACACAGTACACACACACACACAGTACACACACACACACAGTACACACACACACACAGTACACACACACACACAGTACACACACACACACAGTACACACACACACACAGTACACACACACACACAGTACACACACCCACACAGTACACACACCCACACATGCACCCCCCCCCACACACTCACACCCACATGCGCACACACGTGAGAAAGAGACACGCTAGAATATACAGTACTGGTGTGGTGTTCATGCATCAACAAACATGACCAAAATAGAACAGGGGCCAGAGACATTCCACAAGTAAATAATGAGACCTTTCACCAAAGGCTGGCGGCATTAAATATGCCAAAACTAACATTGAAGGGAAATGGGTACCATGATCACCACATACAATATTTTGATTGAAGAAATTAATAAAATGTATAAGGATTTTTTTTAATAAACTAGAACAAGAGAATATTGGTGGAAGAAATCCTAAGTGCGGAAAAAACATGACATTATTCTATTACAGTGGTAGATAGTCTTAGTCTTTGGCCATGGTAGACTACCAATGGCCAAGACTACGAGGTAGACATCAGAAAGATGGTGATATCAACAAAATGTAGACTATAAACACTATCTTCCTCACCTCTAATTCACACTCATATTTACACACTCAGCTTTACATTCACTTCGTTACCTGTGTCTCATTTGCACCTCCCTTCCTCACCTTTCAACCGGACTTTGTCTCCGAGTATTTGGAGGAACTCCTCGAAGAGCATGGAGGAGTCGTTGTTGTCAAGGATCTCTTCCTCCGTGTACTGCTCCTCCCTGACATAGACCACTCCCACCTTCAGCTCGCTCTTGATGAACACCTGCCGGAGGGGACACGTCTGGGTGACTGTGTGGTGGAGAGCGGTAACCTGCCAGAGGGGACACCGCTGCCCTATCCTTCACCCATGCCCTATCCTTCACCCATCACCACACTCACCTGGTCCAGCTTGAGCAGCTCCTCAGGGATGTCCGGCAGCTGACCGAGAACAAGGGGCGGGTTGAGGTTGATCTCCCGCCCGAAGGACCTGACCACCTCCTCCCGGTTATATCTGTCAGCGAAGACGCAGGAGGCGGGGACCAGCCCATGCACCGTGTAGGATATCCCTCGCACCATGATCCTGCAGGAGATCACCTCACAGCAAGCTCATAGCAGAGATCAAACAAGAAAATATATCCTGTATATATAGATTTTTTTATGAGTGCATAAAATTTCATCCTGCGAGGGAGGCTGTGTGGGGTAGACCTGAAATGTATCCTAAGCCTCCTAACCCACTGTGTATCCATACTGTACCACCTGTAGTTATAGACCTATGGAGCACCCCACGGTACAGTTTCTAAAGGTTATGGTGCATAAAGACCTTGCATGGTACACTGAATAAAGTTATGGTGCCCCCTCCCTCCCTCCCCCTCCTTGGTGTAGCTGATAGATGTATAGTACCTAGTGACCCCCTATGGTACAATATCTGAAACTATGGTACCTGGTCACCTCTCATGTTACAGCCTATGAAAGTATGATACTTGGTGATCATACTTTGGTACCCTCCCTGAGCTGTCCCCCATGGTACCCCCACCATAACTGGTCCCCTGCCATGGTACACTACCATAACTGGTCTCTCCCATGGTACACTACCATAACTGGTCTCTCCCATGGTACACTACCATAACTGGTCCCCTGCCATGGTACCCCCACCATAACTGGTCCCCTGCCATGGTACCCTCACCATGGTACCCCCACCATAACTGGTCCCCTGCCATGGTACCCTCACCATGGTACACTACCATAACTGGTCCCCTGCCATGGTACACCCACCATAACTGGTCCCCTGCCATGGTACCCTCACCATGGTACACTACCATAACTGGTCCCCTGCCATGGTACACCCACCATAACTGGTCCGCTGCCATGATACACTACCATAACTGGTCCCCTGCCATGGTACACCACCATAACTGGTGTCTCCCATGGTACCTCACCATGGTACCCTACCTGAACTGGTCTCTGCCATTGGAGGTCTCCTGCTTGAGGGAGAGGATGACGGGTCCGAGGTCCTCATCCTGGGTAAAGTAGTTCCAGTGCTCAGAGCCGTAGAAGTACTTCTCGTAGGTCTCTTGGTCGATGCTGGTGAGGTCGAACTGGCCATTCCTCTCCCACTGCTCCTGGATGCAGGTCTTCTGGCGTGACGGCTCGTTGATGAGAGGCACCTGGCCGCCTGGACACACCTGCAGCAGAGAGCAGGTGTTCACTGGTGTGTGCACACCTGGTGGGTGGGGGGGAGGGGGGGCAGGGGTTTGTGGTGGTGTTGGGGGTTATGAGACGTGGTACCAGGTGAAAGTCATAGGCCTATGAACACGCTTTACTACTCGTATTGACCTGTGACCAGGTTCCACTGCCAGGGTTGGGGTCAGAAGCAAGTTCCACTGCCAGGGTTGGGGTCAGAAGCAAGTTCCACTGCCAGGGTTGGGGTCAGAAGCAAGTTCCACTGCCAGGGTTGGGGTCAGAAGCAAGTTCCACTGCCAGGGTTGGGGTCAGAAGCAAGTTCCACTGCCAGGGTTGGGGTCAGAAGCAAGTTCCACTGCCAGGGTTGGGGTCAGAAGCAAGTTCCACTGCCAGGGTTGGGGTCAGAAGCAAGTTCCACTGCCAGGGTTGGGGTCAGAAGCAAGTTCCACTGCCAGGGTTGGGGTCAGAAGCAAGTTCCACTGCCAGGGTTGGGGTCAGAAGCAAGTTCCACTGCCAGGGTTGGGGTCAGAAGCAAGTTCCACTGCCAGGGTTGGGGTCAGAAGCAAGTTCCACTGCCAGGGTTGGGGTCAGAAGCAAGTTCCACTGCCAGGGTTGGGGTCAGAAGCAAGTTCCACTGCCAGGGTTGGGGTCAGAAGCAAGTTCCACTGCCAGGGTTGGGGTCAGAAGCAAGTTCCACTGCCAGGGTTGGGGTCAGAAGCAAGTTCCACTGCCAGGGTTGGGGTCAGAAGCAAGTTCCACTGCCAGGGTTGGGGTCAGAAGCAAGTTCCACTGCCAGGGTTGGGGTCAGAAGCAAGTTCCACTGCCAGGGTTGGGGTCAGAAGCAAGTTCCACTGCCAGGGTTGGGGTCAGAAGCAAGTTCCACTGCCAGGGTTGGGGTCAGAAGCAAGTTCCACTGCCAGGGTTGGGGTCAGAAGCAAGTTCCACTGCCAGGGTTGGGGTCAGAAGCAAGTTCCACTACCAGGGTTGGGGTCAGAAGCAAGTTCCACTACCAGGGTTGGGGTCAGAAGCAAGTTCCACTACCAGGGTTGGGGTCAGAAGCAAGTTCCACTACCAGGGTTGGGGTCAGAAGCAAGTTCCACTACCAGGGTTGGGGTCAGAAGCAAGTTCCACTACCAGGGTTGGGGTCAGAAGCAAGTTCCACTACCAGGGTTGGGGTCAGAAGCAAGTTCTACTACCAGGGTTGGGGTCAGAAGCAAGTTCTACTACCAGGGTTGGGGTCAGAAGCAAGTTCTACTACCAGGGTTGGGGTCAGAAGCAAGTTCTACTACCAGGGTTGGGGTCAGAAGCAAGTTCTACTACCAGGGTTGGGGTCAGAAGCAAGTTCTACTACCAGGGTTGGGGTCAGAAGCAAGTTCTACCAGGGTTGGGGTCAGAAGCAAGCTACTACCCACTCCACTGTCAGTTCTGGGACCTTTGACCAAATTATCCTTGCAGCCTATCTTCATCTAAGTTCAGCTACCAGTATTATATTAAAGTCCAATTTCTTATGCAAGTGCTAGGACTATGAGACAATTCATCTAAAAGTACCAGGATTATAGGCAAACACTACCAGAACAATAACCAAACTCTGCTATCAGATCCAGGAATACGACCAAGTTATATCTCCAGTAAGACAAAGATTCACTACCAGCTATAAGTACCAGGGCAATCAGACAAGAGCCGAAGCTCAACCCTCACCAGGTCAACAAGGACTCGCCGAGTTGACCTGGCGAGCCCCTGGACTATACAACACTCACCTGGATGTTCTGATCGGCTTTCTCCGGGTGGTCGCTCTGAGGGGAGCCGTCCTCCAACTCCGGCTCCGACTCGTCCCAGATGGTGTCGTCGGGGACGGTCTGGCCGGCGCACTCGATCCAGTAGCCAGGCGTGGGGATGAGGCTGTGCGGATAGCCTGGGCAGAACTCATCTGGGAGACGCAGGAAGAGGAGTCAGGGAAGATTAACATCTTTAAAGTAAAACTCCGATTCACATGGGTTGGGGGGGGCATGACTTGCCATACCTGCGCCCGAAATTCATCCCATCACCACGTCCCTGAGTATATCTATCGACTATCCCATACCCACTTATATCCCTTGACACGCATCTAGACCCACTGAAGTCTTCTATACTTATTGGTATTCCCACATACCCCCAGAAATTCATCAATACCCGCAGGCATTCACCGTACACTGTGTTATTCACCTGTTACATATATTCTATGAACTCATTTTCAATGCATCTAAAGTGCTGAATTTGTTTAGTAATGAGCGAGACAAACGAGCCATTCATTAGATACATCACTCGGGACACTCATCAGTACCCCAAAGACCTCACCTGCACAAGCTTGGGGCGGGAGAGGAAAGATAAGCGTAGTGGAGGATTTTCTTCTAGCGACCGCACACCCCAGACTCTGGGGCTTGAAGGAGCGCAGTTGCTGCAGGAAGTCGGACGTCTCCATGAGGGCAACGTCAGCGAAGTGGAGATCGCAGAGGAACTGGTTCTTGTAGCGTCGGGCGCGGGTCTGGTTAGGTCCCGTCAGGTTGAGGCCGCAGGAATTGCAGCGTAGGCACTCTTCGTGGTAATTATTGTTGTCGTACAGCGAACCTTCTGCAAGACCAGGAGAGAATAAGGACGGAGCGAGTAAGAAAATAGATAAGTAAAGGTGAATAGAGTGAGAATAAGATGGCAAGTGAGAAAGAAGTGAACATAAGAATATTAAGTCTGCGGAAGGCCAATGGGTTGGCGTTAGAGGTTGCTTTGGCAGGGAGAATCTTCCCTGCTGAGAAAGGAGGGAGGGAGGGATAGATGAACTAAGTTGGGCAATGCTAGAAGGGATTCTAGAGGAAGATTCCTTTCCATCCTAGAATATCTGGCCAAAGTTGAAAGCTGCTCTCATCTTTGAGAGAGTCTGTATGAGGCACTGTAACACTAGGCTAAGGTTGGCCACACTGGCAACATCTACTCAAAGGTCGCGGCCAGCCACCTTCTGCAGTGTAAGGTGCTAGTGAGTCACGCAAGGGCAACATACAACACACAGCTATCATCATGTTTATAATTATCCAATTTAAAATTAATAACTTTCTACACAGTAAAAACTATTCTATCAGGAGAAGCGAGCGTGTAGGTGTGGCCTCCCAGACATATACAACGGGCCAAAGACAGTTAATGAACAGTATATTGTGAAGTGCAACCTTCAATAGTAGTGTGTGTCCCTGTTTGTTGCCCAGCTCGGACGATTTTAGCTTATACGGTGTAGTTGTGGAATGGTCCGAACACTCGGCTGCCAAAACAGGCGACTCAGAGTTCTGTCATATACTGAATATATGAATTAGCGTTATCATTATGACCAGATATTATTGTATTCCATCCATACATCAATACTAACTATATAAACATACTGAAATGTCAGTTCTGGAACAAAGTCCCCCCAAATGAACCTACATAAAATAAAAAAACGGGAATTTGAACACGAACAACATAGAAAACGAAAATAAAATCAAACTCTGGTCTAATCTAACCTAATTATAAATGTGCAACGCTAGGTTAGGTTTTAGTTTTTTTTTCCCCTTTCAAAATTTCCACTTTCAAGACTGTTATTTTCTCTCAAAGTTTGTTAAATTAATAAATTGCATACTGTAGCCGAGAGAAGGTTTTTAGTATGGACATAGAGGTATAGCCCTGAGGCGTAGTGGATGGGTTGCAGATACCCAGCGGATAGTCGTGGGACCTCATTCCATCTTTAGTTTCTCCTCACTCGCTACCAAGATAAAACACCAAACATGTGCTCACATGTGTGTGTGCAGCACCGCTCCTGTGCCAGGTAAGTCCACTACGGGCTCACCGTAGCCCGTGCTACTTGGAACTTGTTCCGAGTAGCTTAATCTATAATAACAACAGCTCACATGTGGCTCCAGGCGAAGTAAGACGGTAGATCACAGTACAGATACCCTCAAGGGAAACGAAACTTTAGAAACATTATACGCAAATACACGAATAATAATTATGCCCGAAACGCTTTGCGTAATAGTGGCTTTAGGCATTGTATGTACTAGCTATACCTATAAGTTAAACAATCCTTGTAAATATTTATTGTATGTATGTACCTTACCTAAATAAAATTGTATTGTATTGTATAATAAATTAATGAAGGGAAATAAAAATTCAATATTAGGCTTTAGATGAAGCACTAATGTAAGCATATGTCGTACTCAATACGCCAGGAGGACCCCATTACTTGGCCAAATTAGCAAGGTCTGATTTTCTTAACATGCAGAACAATTGTCGGTATTTTCAAATATTTTTCTTAGTGGGTCTTTCCTTACGATATTTATATATTACATTCTGAAAATTAATTACTGACTTAGGATGGGTAGGTTAGGTTAGGGTTGGTCAAGTTCATAGTTTCACTTTGACAAAAAAAATTACATTTAATGCGTTGACAAACATTTCATTAGAGACAAAGTTTGACAAGTTTAAAATTTCATGTAAATTCGGATAAGGTAATGGAGGGATTGAATTATCAGGAGAAAGCGCCAAGACATTACGAATATATAGCACTTTGAAAGGATTTGGAAAAAGACGTGGGGGGGGGGGTGGAGGAATGGTGTCCAACCCCTTGGATGGTCGGGAATTGAACGCCGACCTGCATGAAACAAGACCGTCGCTCTACCGTCCAGCCCAAGTGGTTGGACATGAGGTAATGGAGTGACCTGACCTAACCGACTCGGCCACGATGGTACAAAAGCCGACCAACCCGCAACTTTTCCGAATTCACCGAGAGGTTCACAAGGAGTCAGCAGACATTCCTTAAACATGTAAACAAGGAGTCAGCAGACGTTCCTTAACACGTAAACAAGGGGTCAGCAGACGTCCCATGACATGAAAACATGGGGTCAGCAGACATTCCTTAACATGTAAACAAGAAGTCAGCAGACGTTCCTTAACACGTAAACAAGGGGTCAGCAGACGTTCCTTAACACGTAAACAAGGGGTCAGCAGACGTTCCTTAACACGTAAACAAGGGGTCAGCAGACGTTCCTTAACACGTAAACAAGGGGTCAGCAGACATTCCTTAACACGTAAACAAGGAGTCAGCAGACGTTCCTTAACACGTAAACAAGGAGTCAGCAAACGTTCCTTAACACATAAACAAGGGGTCAGCAGACATTCCTTAACACATAAACAAGGGGTCAGCAGACGTTCCATAACACATAAACAAGGGGTCAGCAGACGTTCCTTAACGCGTAAACAAGGGGTCAGCAGACGTTTCTTAACACGTAAACAAGGGGTCAGCAGACGTTTCTTAACACGTAAACAAGGGGTCAGCAGACGTTTCTTAACACGTAAACAAGGGGTCAGCAGACGTTCCTTAACGTGTAAACAAGGGGTCAGCAGACGTTTCTTAACACGTAAACAAGGGGTCAGCAGACGTTTCTTAACACGTAAACAAGGGGTCAGCAGACGTTTCTTAACACGTAAACAAGGGGTCAGCAGACGTTCCATAACACATAAACAAGGGGTCAGCAGACGTTCCTTAACGCGTAAACAAGGGGTCAGCAGACGTTTCTTAACGCGTAAACAAGGGGTCAGCAGACGTTTCTTAACACGTAAACAAGGGGTCAGCAGACGTTTCTTAACACGTAAACAAGGGGTCAGCAGACGTTTCTTAACACGTAAACAAGGGGTCAGCAGACGTTTCTTAACACGTAAACAAGGGGTCAGCAGACGTTTCTTAACACGTAAACAAGGGGTCAGCAGACGTTCCTTAACACGTAAACAAGGGGTCAGCAGACGTTCCTTAATACGTAAACAAGGGGTCAGCAGACGTTCCTTAACACGTAAACAAGGAGTCAGCAGACGTTCCATAACACATAAACAAGGGGTCAGCAGACGTTCCTTAACACGTAAACAAGGAGTCAGCAGACGTTCCTTAACACGTAAACAAGGAGTCAGCAGACGTTCCATAACACATAAACAAGGGGTCAGCAGACGTTCCTTAACACGTAAACAAGGAGTCAGCAGACGTTCCATAACACATAAACAAGGGGTCAGCAGACGTTCCATAACACATAAACAAGGGGTCAGCAGACGTTCCATAACACATAAACAAGAGGTCAGCAGACGTTCCATAACACATAAACAAGGGGTCAGCAGACGTTCCATAACACATAAACAAGGGGTCAGCAGACGTTCCATAACACATAAACAAGGGGTCAGCAGACGTTCCATAACACATAAACAAGGGGTCAGCAGACGTTCCATAACACATAAACAAGAGGTCAGCAGACGTTCCATAACACATAAACAAGGGGTCAGCAGACGTTCCATAACACATAAACAAGGGGTCAGCAAATGTCTCACATAAAATATGAAACTACTCTTAATTTACTAATATATTATCTAGCTGGTGAGAGCCTTTAGTTTCCTGTGGGATCAGACTACACCAAGCCGGGACCCTGATTCATGAAGCAGTTACGCAAGTACTTACGAACCTGTACATCTTTTCTCAATCTTTGACGGCTTTGATTACATTTATTAAACAGTTTACAAGCATGAAAACTTGCCAATCAAGTGTTGTTATTGTTATAAACAGCCTCCTGGTGCTTCGGAGCTCATTAACTGTTTAATAAACAAAGCCGCCGCTATAAACAAAGCCGCCAAAGATTGAGAAAAGATGTACAGGTTCGTAAGTGATTGCGTAACTGCTTCGTGAATCTAGCCCCTGGTCACTGCATTATTCAGGTCAGGTGTGGCTGTGAACAACGTAGACGACTCAAGGGGTTAATTTACTCAGGGTATTTAGTTATGTACCCTCGAGGTTTGGTCGGCAGACTCAAGGAGGTTCAGTCATTGCAATCAAGGAGGTTCACGCAAAGTCAAAAGGGTTGATATTAACTTTAAAGGGTTTTAAGACTAAGCTGTAGTCAAAGGGGGTTAAATCACGACATTCATTTTGCTGTGTTTTGAAAAGGCGTGTGATTTAGGGGGGTGGGGGTCAATTACCAAGTCACTATACCGTAGTGACTTAATCACCATGCAGACCATCCTCGCCTGGGGAACACGCCACTATGTATAACCAACATAAGGAACATGGCTTACGTTTGTCTGCTGCACGCTTGTGGTTGTCGTTGTTGTCATCGTCGTCTGAGGTCTTGCGAGACGAGACCTTCCTAACCTCTTCGTCAAGGTCCTCCTCCTCCTCCTCCTCCCTGACTGACCCGTGACCAGCCGCTGTCTCCACCACCCCTGCTTCCTGGTCATCTTTGGTCATGCAGAGCGGTATGTTGCTCATCTCAGGTCAGGTCACCGAGGCCCAGGCGCACAGCGGGGTCACCAGCAGGGGAAACAAGGTGCGAAACAGATCTTCAAGGCCCAAAACCATCTTGACAGGTTAAGATCATCACTTTCCAGCCCCCCTTTGGTATTTATCGAGTTCACTTCCCTGTGTGACTGTCGGTGTTGGCCAGCGGCCCGTCGGTCACTGTAGAGGTGCCAGGGGGACAGTGCCAGGGGCGTGTGGTGAAGGTAGCAGCTGCAGGAGGGCCTCCGAGGTGGTCGTAGCACACAACTGACGATGCAACACTAGCCAATACCTTTGTTGGGTCAAG